GCCTGATACAGGCCATGGTCTTTGAAAACGCTTGTTATGCATCAGAGAGTTGGACAATGACTAGGGAGGACAGAAGGAGAGTGGATGCTTTTGAGCTGTGGCGCTGGAGAAAAGTTCTGAATGTACCATGGACTGCCAGGAAAACAAACAGATTGATCTTGGAGAAGATTAAACCAAGCTACTCCTTGGAGGCAAGGATTCTGGGGCTTCGTCTGACATACTTTGGGCATGTTGCCAGGAGGGACGGGTCCTTGGAGGGGGACATCATGCTTGGGAGGGTGGAGGGACGGCGCAGGAGGGGAAGACCTTCTATGAGATGGATTGACTCGGTGACTGGGATTATCGGGATGGTTGTGTCGGAGGCAGTGAGGTTGGGGCAGGATAGAGCAGGGTTTAGAGCTGTTGTGCATAGGGTCGCTATGAGTCGCAAACGACTCGACGGCATATAAGAACCACAACAACATACTTTAACAAACATGATGTCTTTCTCCAAGGATTGACCCCTTTGATACCAGGCTCCAAGTATATGAAATGAAGTCTAGCTGCCTTTGCTTTGGAGAACATTCTGGTTGCACTTTATTCGAGACAGATTTATTTGTTGTTTTGAAGTCCATGATATTTTCAGTATTCTCTGCCAACACCACGATTTAAAACCATCAGCTTTCCTTATTTGTTGTCTGACTTTCACAGACATAGGAGGTGAGTGAAAATGCCTTGCTCTTTAATACTTTAAAGAGGTCCTTGGTAGCAAAATTGTGAGCTTATTATTTAAAGGACTTAGAGATGAGTTGTTATGTGCTGTTGAGTCACTTGTGACTCATAGTGACCCTGTGTATGTACAATAGCCCTGAAACCTGCTCAATCTTGTGCCAGCCTTACTGTCTCTGGCACACCTACCCTCATTACTCCAGTCATTGCATCAATCCATCTTATTGAAGCCTTTTTCTCCTTAACTATCCCTCCACTCTTCCAAGCATGATGTCCCTCCCCAAGGACAGGTCCCTGTTTGCAACATGCCCAAATTATGTCAGACGAAGCCTCAGAATCCTTGCCTCCAAGGAGCAGCCTGGTTTTACATTCTCCAGGATGAATCAGTTTGTTCTCCTAGCAGTCTATGGTATATACAATACTCTTCTCCAACACCACAGCTCAAAGGCATCAATTCTCCTATCATCCCTAGTCTTTGTCCAGCTATCTAATGCATAGCAAGCAATTGTGAAGACTGTGGCCTGCATCAGGTGCACCTTAGTCTCCAGGCTGACAAATAGAGATGAGAGTGTATCAACAAATATGCTGCCAAGTCATTATCATAGGCCAGGTTTTTAAACTTTTGAGACCGTGTGAAATGGTAATGTGAAAGGAATAGGATGAGGTGAGGCTGAACTCCACAGAGCTGGAACTCTCAGGGAGCACATGAATGGAATCATAGAGCTCGGCAAAGAAGTTGGAAAAGGAGAACTCAAAAAAATAAGGAGGGAGAGGTAAGAGGGAAATAGAAAACTAAACAAAACCTATTCTTTGTGAATAAATGGTAGTTACTTTGCTGTTCAACTAATTATAGTATTTTATGACTAGTTGAAAAGTAATGTTTGCATTTTACTTTATGACTGATCAGTCTCCTCTCTCACAGGTAAAAGCTTCTGATGCAGACACAGGCCTCTATGGCTTTGTGGAATATTCTCTCTATGATGGATTCCAAACTTATGAAGCACCTCGAGCATTCCAAATTGACCCACATGATGGACAAATATGCGTTTCTCAAGATATCGACAGGGAAAGGGATCCAGCTACCTATGATCTCTTGGTAAAAGCTAAAGATGGGGTAAGTCCTTTGTGCGTGACATTTCATATTGCTTCACAAGTGGACTCTATGCACCCTTCCAACAAAAAGTGCCAACATTTGTCCGTAGTAGGCCAGTCCTGTTTCATATACAGCATCATTGCTTTTTACTGGAGTGTCTTGAAAATTAACACCAGACATAATATAATTGTATCCATATTTTATATTGAATAATTCAACAGGATCACTAACAGAAATTTAGAAATATAATTTTAATGCAATATCAATAATCATTCAATACTTTTTCATATCTATGCAAGGTTAAAATTTTTTGGAACATCTATAAAACATCTTTAAGTAGGTTGTTTACTTGGATTAAGATCCAAGTGAATCTGCATGTTGATTAGATTGTTATATTTCATATATCTCAGTCTATTAAAAATACTGCATTGGGCAAATCTACTGTCTAGGACTTAAAGTGCTAAAGAGAAAGGAGATCAGGTTAAAGACTAAGGTGCACCTGCCCCATGTCATAGTTCAGTTACTTTGTATGCATAAAAAGTTAGACATAAAGAAGACCTAAGAGGAATTGATGCCTTTGAATTGTGGTGTGGGTAAAAAGCATTAAATACACTACATACTGCCAAAAAAACAAAAGTAAAAGTACCTGTTTTGGAGGAAGTACAGTCTGGGGAGTGCCACCTTAGAGGCAAGGATGGTGAAACATTGTCTTGTACACTCTGGCTATGTTATCGGAAGAGGCCAGTCCTTAGAAAGAGACATGTTGTTTGTTGTTGTTAAGTGCCGTTGAGTCTCAGGTGACTCATAGCGACCCTATGAAGGAGAGTCCTCAGTGCTTGGGTGCCTTTCATGCTCTCTCGAGGTTCATAGGGTTCCCGGAGGCAAGCTATTATGGAAGTGGACGCCACTCCTCCTTCCAAGCTTGTTTTAATCGGGGAGCTCCACCCCACATCTGTCTGCATTGGGTAACCAACCATTAACACATTTGACACATCAGTGACACAGTGTTCAGCCTCACAGCTACCAGAAGTGACCGCGGTACAGCCTGGCTTGCCTGGTTCCTAGGGGCAGAGTAGTCCTTTGTGTCTGAAAACTGTCACAACATCCACCCAAACAGCACCATGCTCTCTCTGGTAACCCAGCCATAGCAACCCTGGGCGGAGCAAACCTGGGAGAACATGGCCCCCGTCTCTCCCCTCTTCTCCTTTTGGGCTTCAAGCCCTCTGCTGCCGCCTTAAACCCTAGGCCAAGCCTGGCTTGCCTGGCTCCTGGAGGCAAAGTAGTCTTTGGCGTCCAAAAACTGCCACAGAAAGAGACATAGTGCTTAGAAATATAATGGATCAGTGAGAGAGAAGGTCTTCAGTGCAATGGATTAGCACTGTGGCTACAAAATGAACCCAGTCATGATGGAGATTGGGAGGGTGGTACAGAAACGCACATGGTCTATTTCTATTGTTCATAGAGTTGCTGTCAACTAGATGTTCTTTAACAATTTAACTTTTTAAGAAATCAGGTAATTTATCCTTAAAAATGTCCTACCCTGGGAATGCGACTAATTAGATTCCAAGGAGGTCATTCGGTGTGTTGCTGCATTCTGTGCATTGAAAGCCAATGCATCGACTTGACTCCTTTTGGTTAATTAAAATGATACCATATGCTTCTTGTGTCAAATCAGCAGGCACAAACGGTTATTGCAATCATCCATTGACTCTAATTCAGAACCCATTCCTAGCTGACTCCTCCTAGAGTTTTCCAGGCTTTATTTGTGTGAGAAGAGATTGCTTGTTTTTGTCCCACAGAGTTGCTAAGAGATGCCACTCTTTGGTTAGCAGCTCTCCATGACCTATACCACTGGAGCTCCTTGTGTTTTCACTGTGGTGCTTCTATTGCTGTTTGCCATAAAGTAAGAACTAATCCATTGCTTAGCCTCTGGCAGGTTTTCAGAGACAGTAAATTGTATGAGGGGAATTTGTCCATCTTTCTTCCACAGAACAGCTGGATGAATTTGAACCATGTGCCTTTGGGATTGCAGCGCAGCTCCTTACCATTAGGCCACCAGAGCACCCTTAGTCACTGAAAAATGCTCATCTTCAAATATCCATTTTGCATTTATTATCAGTAGTTTTTATTCTTAGAAGAATATAATTTTTTAAACTTTATTTTATATTGGTTTAGATACAAAAGTTGAATACGTTGTGCGTCATTCCTATACATTGTGTTTGATGCATTCCTCCATTCACTCTGTGTTTCACATTCTCATTCCACACATTATATTTTATAAAATTAATCACCATTGATCCATCTATTTCCTAAACAACATGCCCCCGGAAACTCTATGAACTTTTAAATGTCGATAGTTGTAGAGGGGCTTCAGGCATTTTGTTCATATAGTCACTATAAGTAGTGCTTGACTCGAAGGCAATCAACAACAATAACAACATAGTTCAATAGGAAATTTTTAGAGTAATGAGGTGATGCTTTTAATTATATGCAAAGTTGACCAATGATATTTTTTCCTGGTGTGCCTATACATTTCTGGATTTATTACACTGATGTAGAGGATTTTGGCTATAGTGTCACTTTCTAGGTGAATTACTTATTGATGAATGAAATGTATATGGAAAAGTATGCATCATGTTTATAGCTCAGTAGATTTTTGCAAAATGAACATACTGGATTAAGACATTCCATGAAGCTCTCTCTTGGCCTTTTGCTGTGACTGTACCTTGGCTGTATGATGCTTAAAGAGAGCCACAGCTTGGCTTCTAACAACACATATTGTTGTTATGTGCTGTCGAGTCGCTTGCAACTCTTAGCGATCCTATGTGCAACAGCCCTAAACCCTGCTCTATTCTGTGCCAGTCGCACTGCCTCTGACACACCCATCCCAATTACCCCAGTCACTGAATCAATACATCTCATAGAGGGTCTTCCCCTCCTGCACTGTCCCTCCACCCTCCCAAGCATGACGTCCCTCTCCAAGGTCCTGTCCCTCCTTACAACATGTCCAAAGTATGTCAGACGAAGCCCCAGAATCCTTGCCCCCAAGGAATAGCCTGGTTTAACCCTCTCCATCATGAATCTGTTTTTCTTAGCAGTCCATGGTGCATTCTTTTTTTTTTTTTTAAAAGTTTGTTGGATGAAGTCATGCAGTAAGTATTTCTGTGTGGTTCCTTTGTTGTGGTGGCGCTAACCTGGGTGTTATTTATGAGAATCGTTCATGGTATTTTGTTCTCATTCATTGTCTTTTATGTTCCCATGACAGTGGTTTACTTGCTTTGGAATCAGCCTCTGACTCACAGCAACCACGTTCACAGCAGAACAAAACCTTGTCTGGTTCTGTGCCATTGCTTCAGATCATTTGTAATCTCTATGGTTTTCATTGACAGATTTCTGTACTAGACCTGACTTCATAGTTCACTTTAGACTAGAAGCTCTGTTGGACCCTATTTGACATCCTAGCAACATGGACCCTCACATGTTGTTGTTGTTATGGGCCTGCGATTCTGGGAGCTCACTCAGCTTTGTAATACTCCATTATCTCCAACGTTCATCTGTCAGTTTGTCTTCTTTGAAGTTGTCATGGCTTGCATGTTGCTGTGATGCAACTTCTGTGGAAGCTATGCAACCACAGAAGAGGCCATCACCTATCGTATACAAGCTTAAGTTGAAGGTGAAGAAAACAAGTTCAAGAGACCCAAAGTATCACTTTGAGCATGTGCCACCTGAATTTAGAGACCATCTCAAGGAAATATTTGATGCATTAAATATTGATAACCAAAGGCCAGAGAAGTGGTGTGATGGCATCAAGTCGTCATAAACGAAGAAACAGGCATAAACATTTAAAAAACAGAAAAGAAAAAAAGTAGAAATGTACATCATAAAGGAATGAAACCTTCTTCTGAACGTAAATTAAAACAAATGGAAGAAATGATTAAATAAAAGTACTGAGCAGAAGATTTCAAAGGGTAGTTCAAGAACTCAGAGTACTGTGTTACAAGTAAGTGTGTAAAGACCTGGAGTTGAAAACCAAAACCAAAGAACAACTTAAAATTTATCTAATGGGGGGGGAACCCAATAAAAATTAGACCTTGAATTTGCAATGTCAAAGGATTCCCTGATGACTTAGAAAGTTAATGAGTGGGCTCATCAAGGTGTGGCTGATTAAGATGCACCTGATTCACGCTATGGTCTTTTCATGGGAGCAGTGTTGGAGGAAATCACTGAATCGCTCATGGACTGCCAGAAGAGCAGGTATGTCTTGGGCGTGGTGCAGCCAGAGTTCTCCTTTTAGGCAAGGATGGCAAATACTTTGTCTCACATACTTTAGGCGTGTTGCTAGGAGAGGCTGCTCCTTGGAGAGGAACATCATACTTGGGAAGGTTGAGGAATAGCGAAAGAGGAAGACCCTCAACCAGGTGGATTGACACAGTGATTGCAGCAATGGGCTCAAGTGTGTCAGAGGTGGGGAAGATAGGATGGGTCACCCTCAATTATACGACACCTGAAAATAACAACAACAACAAGAACTGAGCTAGCAGTTTGAACTTAGCAGCCCTTTTGTGGGGGGAAAATAGATAAAACAGTTGTCTCCCATTAGGACGGAGAGTCTCAGAAACCCAGTGGAGGGTTTACATTAGACAGAATTATCTTGATGACAATAGGTTTCCTTTCCTTTCTTTATTTTTTGGTATAGGCAAATACTGAATGATATTAAGAAACGGCAGAAAGATAGGAGGGGGATAAGAGGAGGAATATGCTATAGCATAAAGAATTTGTCTTTATTCTACATTTGAGGAGGTAGCATCTGATCAGGAACTGATAGCGTTGAAGTCTAGGCTTCTTTAACAGCACTGGCAAAAATGAAGGCTCCAGGAATTGACAGAATACTGATGTAGATATTGCCACAAATTGGAAGTGTTCATTCCTCAGTGTCACAAATTTGTGAAGCAGTTTCCTAGTCAGTTTCCTAGCACTGGAAGACATCTCTACATCTCTATTTGTGCCCATTTCAAAGAAAA